TAGTGTTAGAGTTTTAGTTTGTGTAAAAGCTGTGTGAGGCTAAAGTAATTGCATGAAGCCTCTAACAGGTCAGGTCTCTTAAGATCGTAAAATGTATAAGAACACAGGCTGTCTCATTTAATAAAAAGAGAAGCTAATGTCCTTCTTGATAAAGTAACATAAAATGATGATATCGCATTGGGATGTTTGATGCACTATGTAAATCAAATATATGTATAGTCCTATATTTATATGATATACCAATTTTTTTTTCAATTATACGATGTAGTATAGTATATACATAGTACATATTCCTTTTTATATTTTTTTTTTAATGGTTAATTTTTCTCAAATTTTATTAATAATTATTTTATCAAAAGAAATAAAAGATTCTACAGCATATTATAATTTTTGCCCTAAGGTTGAGGTAAGTCTAAAAAACTTTTAGTCGCTTCTTCTTTTCCATGCATTTCTATATTATCTTCTAAAGTTTCTTGTGATTGTCTTTTATTTTTATGAACTTCTTCAAGTCCTGAAGCAATATTTTCTTCAGTTATATTTACAGATGAAAGCCATAATTTTGACTGTTTCATGTTCTGAGTTATATTAGAATGAGTCTTTAAATCTAATTTGTTAAAAAGCCCTTCTACTTGTGTTGATGAATTACAATAAAGTAAATTCACTCTTTAACAAATTTATATAATAATGGGTATTCATAAATTTTAGAACTTGGTGTGGAACAAAAATTTTGAAACTTATTCATAAATTCTAAGCAATCTAATAATTCTTCTTGAAGACCAAAGGTATTATTAGATGTTTCAAAATCATCACGCAATTGTTGCGCAAATTCTATTTCATATTCTGTTGATTCTGAAGGCCAAGGTAATTGTAGAACCATATAGTAGAATGCTTTTGTGAATTCATGGCCAAAATTTCTATCTAATCAGCAAATTGACAATGGCAAATGCACTCATGAAGACATCTATTTTATAAAATGTTCATGTGCCTTATTCATCCCTTGTTCCAAACTATTAAACAACTCACTAAAACCTTTATTATTTAAGATATCTAATGCTATTAGTAATTCTTCTCCAAAAAATATATTGAAATTTTCTTTAAGTTCATTTAAAAAACTAATCTATTCATTTACTTTTTCAGACATTTCATAGCATATCAGCCAGGTAGAAGTTGAATTAGATGATTATCTGATAGGATACGAGGTATTGGATCTTTTCCAACTATAAATTGCATAAGTAGTTCATACAAATACTTTTCAAATTTAACTAAATACTGAACTTGAATATTCAGTTTTTTATCTAAAAGCCAGGTTTGAAATAATCACCAATCTGAAAGATATGATTCTGATATATTATGATTATTTTCGAGCATTCGAATAAACCAATTAGCAAATTTTATATATACTTCATGCTAGTCTAAATACTGTTTAGCAGCTCGTAGTTCATATCCCCAATGACCTCTAATTAGCAGCTGATATTGTGAAAAATGATATCCTAATAGTTTATTATATAATTTTTTAATATATTCTGACCTTATATTAAGAGGTTTTTCTTTGTTACTTGAATTATATCCATCATGTAGATACCATGCTAGATATAACAAGTTAAATAGTTGCGGCTTTCTTGAAAATCTGATTGACGAAGATAATTTTCTGAATGCTTCTTCTTCAAAATATAATAGAACTATATGCATTATATACATTCTGTAACTAATTCATGTTGTATTTATGTTAGTTTTTTTATTAAATTGAACTACTACACCTTTTTGGTTACCAGATATATATGCAGTATTATCAGTTACCCAAGCTAAGCATTTTTTTGGATCAAGCCTGTGATTTATAATAGAATTGAGAATAGTATCTGATACTGACTTGCTAGTACAATTTTGTAAATATTCAAGATTTACTGTAACGACTAATGGCATATTCTTATTATAATCCCAAAACATAATATACATAATGAAGTTTTTAATTTCTCCACGAGTTGACTCATCAACTAAGATTCCAAACTGTGAGCATTTAGTGATTTGATCTATTGCATATTTGATTTCAATCTGTGATACTTCTTGATACCAGGTACTTAGAGTAGATACTGATAACCAATTTTGCAGAGGTTCTCCTACCAAAAATTTATAAATAAGATGCAATGAGTCAACAGTAGCAGTTAATGAAGTTTGTCTGATTTGTGAAATTTTTGTTGATAGCCAAACTATTTTAGGTGAATATTTATTGTTATTTGTTTTAAATAACATAGTTATTTAGCTTTTGAATTCATTATCTGATAGTTTTTTCCATTGTCTAACTAGTGATCTTATAGTTGAAAGATGATTATCTACTTTGTTTTTAAGATACTGATTGGAACTACTTATAGACTGAATTTTATGTATTAGATTTTTATTACTTTTTAATAGTCTTCAGTTTACTAATTTTAGTTTCATGTTCTCTGGTTTTGATTTTTATGATTATCTATAATAAATTCGAGAGTTTTCTTTTGGAGGTAAATAGAAATAATTTTATTTTTATGCTTTTTTTTGGATTTAATATTGATTCAATTAGGTTTAATATGTTTTTCTTTTGTAGTTCTGGCATTTCACAGATAGTATGAAATATTTTTTCTTCTTTTGAATTATTTATTGTATTGGTAAGAATTTTGTGAATATTTAGAAAAGATTCAGGATTGATTTGAGATATTAAACTATGAATTTGTCAGATTTCATTGCTCTGAGATATTATGTACTTCATATGACACTTTTGTTTTAAAACTTTTGGCATGTTTAGATAAAGAAAAAGCAATTTAATGAAGAAAAAGTAATTAGATAAAGAAAAAGCAATTGGATGAAGAAAAAGTGATTGCTTTATATATTCGAAAATCATATAATCACAAACTATAGATAATTAATTAATTTATTGAAATAAAACTAAACTTAGTATTATAATTTTATAATTAGAGAATCATGAGATACTATAATCGAATCAAAAACTGATATGAGATAATAAATGAATTACCCAATAAAGATTAGAGACAATAGCTGAACTTAGCCAATAATTTTTACTTCAGTTAATTAGGTCAATAAATTTGTCAACTCCCTAATAGCTTATTACTTTTATTTATTGTTTATGATTAATTTTATTTAAATACACGATTGTATGCATAATTGTATGTATAAATAGATTTTAGCATCTAATTGGAAGCATCAATTTGTTCACTATTATAGTTTTGGTAATTGATTTTTGTTTAAGTTTTTAAACATCAATTGGTACTATTACTATTTGGGTAGTTAGTTTTTTGTTTGAGTTGTTAATAATTAATTGTTGCTATTATGTTTGTTCTTAATATGACAATTGCTTTTGTTTTTAATACAAGACAATTGCTTTTTTCCTAATATATAACTATTGCTTTTGTTTATTAACAATTATCGATATAAATCAGAATAAATAACTACTTTGATATACATATATTATTGTTAATTAGAGAATAACCTTAAAACAATCTATTGAAATAGTAGATATTTACTACACTAACATCTATTATTTAAAGTATCTTTTTTTAATGCTTCAAATATAATACGAATCAAGAATGATATTTTACTAATAGCTACTATTTCAATAGTTATTTTAGCTCTGCCTTGAAAGTATATTGTATTAGTAAATTATAGCATAAACAATAAAATAAATTCGTGTACTATTTTCTATATAAATGATATCTATTTTCCTTCGAGTTAATACTATCTGCTTCCTTTGATAATATCAAACATGCTATCTAGATGCACTTCAACAACTAATTCTAATTCCAAAAAGTCTAATTATCCTCTGAAAAAATTAAACAAACTAGTTAAATTTAATCCAAACACAAATAACATTTTTATTGACAAAATTTATATTTCTGTACCTGTAAAAGTGAATAAAATTAGTACCAGGTTTTCTGCCTTTATGGAAATGACTCCTATCCAAGATAAAATAAATAAAAAATATCGAAATAAGTATAAAAAATGGTGCTTAATTAGCATTCAAGGTATCTTTCATCTAACCTTCAATACAAATGAACTTACTTCCTCAGAAAAAAGAGTATGCACCTTTTATAACATTCTCTATTGGGAGAAAGGAAGATCTACTAAACTTTTGTCTACTCATTTGCTTGCATTAAGTGGATCAAAAAAACATGAAACATTCATTAATACTGAATATAACTATCATGCTAAAACATTCAAAAAGATACTGTAGTATTCAACTCAATCCATCCCCTAATCCATAGCCACTATGTAGTTCTTTGAAACTGTATCCAACATTACCAAAGATACTATAATCGGAAAAGTTATGTTTGAAAGTATCATACAATACAAGGAAATATCTACTGACCAAGTAGACTCAATTGATAATAATCAATATGAGTTTTTTGGAGATAGAAATGTAGAGTTTGAGGATGATTTCATTAGAGACCAAGCATCTAAAAGAGAGGTAGTAGTTAATAATATGGCTAGTTTCTTAAGAGACCTTAATAATGTGACTAGTTTTGTAAAAGACTAACCTCCAAAAACTGCATAAATATAACTTATGAATTTGAGTGCATTTGTCAAATCTTGATATTTATTAACTTATATTATTAATATCAAATTAGCTATCAAATTACTTAAGAGATCTCTTTGAATATTAAGGTAAATTTTCCCAGCAAGGTACGATATAAAAAAAAATAGTTTATAGTAAAAAATTTGTAAATTGAAATGTAATTTCTTATTAATATTTTTTATAACAAAGATATTTAATTCACGCAATAAACTTTAGCAAATTATGCATATTAATTGTATATTCATTATAATTAAACACACTTGACCTGATGAAAATATTTTCCGCTAAGTAAAATTTATTCCCTGATGCTTTTTAGCCTATTGATTAAGGCGCTTGGAACACTCTAAGTTCAATTAACTTGTAAAAAATATCCTGCTTTTATCTTTATCACATTCATTGCAATTACACATATCATACAAATTCATGTAACTAATATTAAAATCATCAAAACCATTGGAAATTAAATAGTTTTTTGATAAAAAATTTTTTTTAAAAAACTTGAGCTTTTTATTAAAATATAAAGTCTTTTGAACAATTAGGCAAAATTTCTAAGAAAGTTATTATGTAAAATTTTGAGGAGATACGATTTGAAATTTGATATCGTCTTATGAAAACACTATTAAAATTTCTTGAATTTCAAATCTTATCTCCTCAAAATTTTACATAATAACTTTCTTAGAAATTTTGCCTAATTGCTCAAAAGACTTTATATTTTAATAAAAAGCTCAAGTTTTTTTAAAATTTTAAAAAATCTTAATAAAATTAATAAAAATTCGTCAAAAATCATAGCATTTACTATAGATCATCATCTTGGTTACACGAAAAAAATTCACTAGTAAATTTTACTATGGGACTATACATACATTTGATTTACATAGTGCATCGAATACCCCATCTTAACTTCATTATTTGTGGTGCTAATTAAATTACATAGAATGCGTAAATTTTACTACAGTAATAATAAAGTAAATTCTCTTTTCGAAATTTAATCTAAAATTAAAATTAATTTATTAGAAAGGAAAAACCAGTGCATCATGAGAAGGAGGGGGACCGCCAACAACAGCTATTGACCGCCAACAACAGCTAATGCACAGGCTTTAACATTCAGTGGTTGAACAGATAGGTCGCCAATACTAACTGCAATACCGTAAATTGAAGGTAATGGGGATGGCACCGGAACATCCACTGTTACATTAACTGTGGTTCCAGTTGGAATTTGCGTAGTAAAGGGACCGCCATTATCGGTAGAAAAGACAAAATTAAGCCTGTCACTTGAGGTAATGAGTTGCGTTAGTTTTCCATTAACAGTAAAATTGTCGTTTTTTCCAGGGACGACAGGATCAGGTGAAATTGTTACAGTGAGTAGGTCTGGAGTGGGATATCCAGGGGGGAAAGTGCATTCTCTAAAATCAGTAGTTCTTTTATGAAGTTGATGTGGAATAGCATTAACTATGGAAAGCATGACCAATAAAACGAATACAAAAATAAAATTTCGGTTCATCATTTTTTGTGAATATGATATTTGGTCAGAGTAGAATATTTGTTTTGTACTGTGTAATTACCGATGAGAGTGAATCGAGATTACTGCCCTTTTATAAAAAAAATTGCTAGTCTTTAAAATGCATCTCTGTCTTTTTAATAAATCTTTTTTCATACTCTTATATAAGAAAGTCTCGGACATTCGATATAAAAGTCTACGGTGAGTAGATTTTAATACGAGATACAATGAATAGGTGATCCTGAAAGACAAATACGTTTCCTACCTCGAAATATTATTAATTGATCTTGCCCATATATATCATTAAAAAACAGCGTGAAGTTCTAGTGATACTGGCCGATGGAAAAATCATATTAAAAATTCCAAAAAAATTCCGCGCATCATTCGCACTAATTGGATTATATATATTTAGATCTGCATATTGTATGAAATTAAGAATATACTAATTTATCACAGTTTGCAAAATGATGTATTTTTGATCAAGGTTTGCAGATCGTGTTTCACATTAAAATCACCTGATTGTCATCCGATTGTTGCTATTTTAGCGTAAGTTAAATATAAAAATAGAAGATTCATAAAATATTAATTCTGTATTAAACATTTGAGTTAGAAATCACTTCAAAATCGTGCAAATGGGCGAAAATCAGGAGAATTTGCATGTTAGCTAAGATATACAAATTTTGATTAAAAGTACATCATTTTGCAAACCGCGATAATTTCGTTATATAGCATGATTTTATCAGCACATTAGTTTCTAAATCTACATATTTTATAGCGGTAATTTGAAATCGCCCTTCAAAAATTAGCCATATTGCTCAATATATCGCCCATACGCGTCCCCCATATAATTGCATACAAAATTAATTTTTCTTTTGCTATCCCGTCATATAATACCACCTGGATCAGGTTCTTTTGAACTCGAATTCAGGTTCTGTAGTCTGAAGTTTGTATTTTTTAAATAATTTTATATAAATTTTTTTTTTTAAACAATTTTTTTTGAATTAATAAATAATTTTCTTTAAATTAAATAAATAAATAAATATTTTTTTTAAATAATTTATTTATTTATTACTATATATATTTATTGTAAATAATTTATAATATTTTTTTTTATTTATTTAGGCGATACAAATAAAATAAACTGGTTTACATAACATTTGAAAAATTTTTAGACCCGGCCGCCCGGAGGTTTTTTTTATATATATAAAATTTTTTATAAGTAATATAGTCTAATCTCAATATAACAAAATTCGATGTTTAATTCAATATATCAAGGTTTTGATATATTGAAATACTTTGCTATAATAAATTCATAAAAAATTCTTTATAATAGTGGCTAATTCGATTTAGCAAGGTTCATTATATTGAGATTATACTGTAGACAATTTGAATTAGATAACTATAATGTAAGATGATCCACTCAAACTCAAATGTGTTCAGCCCTTTAGATACGATGATTGTCTACTAAGAAATACCATTCGTATCAATCACATACAACAATTTTAACAAATTCGAATAATAAAAGGAATGGTTGTTTAGAATATATTGAAAAAACAAAACGTATAGTATATATTTGTAATATTAGTCACTTTCGGTCAAATGTAAACGTATATAATTCTATATAAAAGTTTTCAACAAAATTAATAAAAAACAAGTTGGTATATCTAAATAATCAACTTCTGAATTCTTCAAGTGACTAGATAATCATTATTTAGGCATATAAACCTAATCTGATACTATTATCAAAATCTTCTGATAGTTTCACATAAAGATTTAATTCCTCAATGCATAATCAAGTCAAATCACAACTAAGAATGACTACTTTACAAAAATCCTCAAAATTTGAATTGCTAAAAATTAGCTTTTTAAAAGTGCTGATAAAGTACCAATTTTTGCCAAATTTTGTACTTTTTTAGTACTTTGTTACTATTATTTTAGTATTAAAAAATATTTACAAATTATTATAATAATAAAATGCTAATATTTGCAATATATTAGCAAAATATTAGTAATAATAAAAAGCTAAAAATTACTAATAAAATAGGTAGTTAATAGTGCTGATAAAGCAATAATTTTGTAATAAATTAGTAAAAATACTAATTTAATACTAATAAACTACTTTATTTTGCTTATATTTTGCTTAATTTTGCAAATTTTAAATTTTTAAATTTTTGTAAAGTAAGATGCTGAAATAATTTCACTACTATGAAATTGGTGTTGAATTGTAAACTTAGTTTCATATCTTTAAACGTGACCAACTACAGTATCAGACACATAAACAAGCCATTTATATAAGTGCTTTTTGAGTTATCAAAAATTCACTAAACTGGTAAATCTAGGCAAGAATATATAGGAATGTTATGTAGTCTAATCTAAACTAATAAACCGTGGTTAGTCTTAAGCAGAGATGATGATTTGCTATGTTTCACAAAATACTGCAGAATTTTTTATAAATACAGCTAATTATATAAATTGGCCTTAATCACAGCAGAATGTCACAGAATTTTAAATAAGAGTTTATTACAGAATCATGATTTTTATGTGTAAAAATTTTCCCAAAGTATGTAAAACCTTTATAAATATTGGAAACATCTTTACCAATATTGAATATTATATATAGCTTCTGGTTTTTAGTTATAGTGTAGAATGTAGTTTTTCAATATAATAATAATAATAAACTTTTAAATAGCAATCGTCAAAATCTCATTTGATTTTTTAAAGTAAATTAAGCATATTATACTGGGCAATTAAGGTTTTTTAGAATTTGGTCTTAGTTACCACAGAAAATCATCATCCCTGGTCTTAAGGTTAGTTTCTAGTTTGAGACTGAAAAAAGTTATATTGCTTTTAGTCTTAAGACCAAACTAGTTTGAATAATTAATTCTTAGATCTATAAACTATTAAAGACTAGACCAGGACTAGACCAAATTGTAACTTCTCAAAATTATAATTTAATTGTAGTAACTTAGGCTGTTCTTATAGTTGCTATCGTAATTACTGAATTATGGCAGATGCTGTAATACTATACATATACTGAAAGCATCTGAATGCTGTAAATGCCGTAAACTATAATACCCATAATGCTAATAATGCCGTAATACTGCAATGCCATAATTGCATTTTTTCTGAAAATCAATTACGCTAGCAACTATAGCTATTCTCAAATGTCTCCTTCAATATATTTACTAAATGAACTGTTTGACTGAAAAAATTGATTATGATTATCATTTAGGTCATAAAAACCTAGAGCTGCAATCACCAATTTTTTTTATAGAGTTGCTCTGATTTAAAATCTGCATTTCAAACAATAAGTTTTTAACAATTCATTTTTCGATTAACTGCATTAACTACTCAATTAATCATAATAAATTGAGTACATTTTAATTACTAGCTAATCACATTGAAGAACTGCTTAAGAATACCCTTATTCAACAATCCTGGTGTAGTGAGGATTGTTGAGACTATAAATTAATAGTCTTGAAGTAGTATAGACTATCCCAAAATTGCGTTGTGTCATTCAACAAGTCTAAATATCTTTTTTAAAGATTCTACCTGAAATAATGTAGTGTTTAATGATAGTTTAGTATTAATTAATATTAAAAATTGAATTTGAATATTTTAATATAAATTCACTCCACTACCGTACATACATTACCTAATGAATCTCTCATACTATTCTACTATCATAGCATAGTTTAAAATAAGTTATGATATAAATTAATCTAATATAGTTCGCTCAATTACAAATAAGCATCACAATTTGTAGGCAAATTTGTCCTTACTTTTGTCCTCAAATTTTATTTTATAATAACAGTTAAATAAAAAACTAAAGGGCTGATTGATTTGTCATAAACAAATCATAACAGTAGTCATTTCTATTATGAAATATGTCTCAAAAATAAAATAAAAAATCCTAAGATAAAAAAAAATAAATATCTATCCTATAAGGACCTAGATTCTCATAATAGCAGATTTTTGATAACATATAAATGTCTTACACTTATAATTTTTGATTTTAAATCACAAATTTCTAATTTGCAAAACTTTTTTAGAACTTTCTACCTCAACAATTTTTTGAAAATAAATGAATGTTGGCAATTTTTATTAGCTCCTACATTATCTTATGAAATAAATAATAATTAAGAATCAAATTTTAATAATATATAGTAATTAATAAAAATATCAAACTATTTTTAACTTTTCTACTTCTAATATCATCATTCACATAATTATTCTAATAAAGTCATCTTGTAATCATAGTCAATTGCATAGTGACTTAAAGGGTTTTTTTTGTGTTAAAATTGTTCAGATGAATGCGTCAAGTATAAAAAGATTCAATGATATAGACTTTTCTCTATTCATACTATTGAAAAAAAATAGTTGCAAATGCACATCACAAATAAAATCATTATATAGCTCGAATAATTATTCTTGTCAGAAATATATAGAACAAGTTATATCAATATCTATAAACGTAAAGAAATGCATATTTAATTTTGATAATAAGATATAGGTTAGAATTAGCATTGATATTCAATGAATAAAAAGGTCTAATGAGTACATCCATGCTACACTAAAAAAATCCTAATGCGATTATTATCATGCCATAAAAGTGTATTCAATATACATACATAAGATATCCAAATGATGAATTATATCAGGTACTGCATCTAAGATCCAAAAACCAGGCTGATATAATAACTTTGTTCAAGATCACTTTAAATTTACTAATAAAATTATATCACATAATTCGAGAGTGCTTCTAATAATTCTTTAAAGTGATCAATATCATTAGCAAACTTGCATAAAATGGGATTAGTACTAGATCATAGAAGTTTAGAATTATATGCTATATTAGATAAATAGCATAATTAAATGCTTACCCAATTGTCTTTTTACTAGAGTATTAATCAATCCCATAGCAATTCTTATAATAAAAAAAAAAAAAATCATAAAAATTTTATTTTTTTTATAATTATATTTGTTAGTCCTTAGTTTTTGATAGGACTAATACTCGAAGGAGGAAGACCTAATTCAGAGGTAATTTGAACCGATTTTTATATATAGGTTCATTTTATTGAATATCGCTATTCTTGCAAATCTAATTTATAGATAGGCATAAGTCAGAATTTTCACATGATGGTATTGAGATATATTTGGATCTTAATCTGGAGCACTAAATAAAATGCTCTATAATAAATTTTCTCTGCACTATTCAGTTCAAGTAAAGACTAGGAATCTGCAAATGCCCATGTCAGGCATATTAGACATCATGCTCAGCACTAGTGCTTGTGAGGTTGTCTATATTCATGAACATAAAGTTCTAGGCATTTTGTAAACTTATATATGAAGTTCTAGGCATCTTTAGGCCAGAAACTTTGAGTACTAGTATCAGTAAGTCTTTTGTGCTTATAGTATAAAGCACTTATATCTTCAAAGTGTCCAATGACTTTATGCCAGATATTTGCATCTGCACGTGCTGGACTTGCAGATCCCTAGTGAAACTTTCTTAATGGTCCAAGAACAAGAATATAAATAATAATTAAAAAAAACCTGAAAAGTAATTGCTGAATGATTAAGCTACCAAATTTTGAATTCAGTATAAATCCAATATTAGAAAATAGAATAAAAAAAACCTTATCAGTTCATTTGCAAGCATAGTAATGATGTGAATATAAAGATATTAGTTTACAAGAAAAAAAAAAAAAAAAAAAAATCTTGTGGTTTTTAAATATCTCGATTTAAGCATTATTACATATATTCAGAGACTGATCAAATCATGAGCAACAAATCAATAGTATCAATAGTCAAAAGATTCTGGTAAAATGGGTCTGGCCTAGAGATATACCTTATACAAAGTGATAAAACTATTACACCCATGATCTTGTGAGATGATACTATACTTCACATAAGATAAACTATTCGATTAAGAAATATTTAATGAAATTTTTAGAATATATTCTAAAATGAATTTTTATCATATGAAACTCATGAATTTGCATGACTTTGTATGCATACAATATATAAAATATATGCTGAGTTTATCTCACACGAAGTACATCTCTAGTCTGGTCTATTAATTTAATAGTTTTGTTGCATAAATATAATATATAATAAAATACAACTTGATCAATCAACTAGCACCAAACTTTAGAACAGACCAGCTAAACACATTGACCATTGAATAGTATGTGCTATTCTGCATAAAAATGCAAGATTTGACACAATATACTAGGTAACACAAAATTCAAAAAAGGAAACTCTAACAATAGTACTTAACTGCTATTTATATATGTATAGAAACTACAGAAGATGAGGCAAAATTAATAAATGTACAATCATAACAAACTCAAAAGAGACCACGAATTGTTTAGACTTTCATAATATATGACAAAAAACTATTTGCAGGTTGTTATAATCTACAATAAAAATCTTTAAAAATCTCTAAAAGCAGCTAAATTTGGAGCAAAATACATATTTTTTAAATAATGCATATGATTATGTATAAAGACAGGTTTTCAGATGAGATATATATACCATAATTGTAAATTTTAATACCAGTGCCTTGTTTATAATAAATACCTTGTCAGATTTTGTAAATAATTTTCTTTTATCATAAATTTCTCTCCATATCATAGGATTGGTGTTAGATACTATAACTATAAATTTTTGCTTAATACCCTTCTTTTTTTCTTTCTTATCATAAATCCTTTCTAGTACTTTGTAATTAGCATCTGATAATGTAACTTTAAATTTTTGTCCTGGTAGCTATCATAAATATCTGTTCTTGGAGTTAGTGATCAACTACTTATTTTTTCAGATCATGATTTTAATTTGTATTAAATTTGCTTATTAGTTCTAGAGAATATGATAACTTGTATAAAATTTCTATATAGAACTTCAATGAGAAAATTGCTAATGTTTAATGCATGTCAAAAATTCTATAGCCTTAACATTCTTGAAAAAAATGCAATAAAAAAATTATACGTCTTTTTTTTTGGAATTAGATCTACTAATGTTTTAGACTTCACTTTCTGCATTTAGCCTTAAAGTTTAATCAATAAATTTTTAATATAACAAAAATGCAATAACTGAACTTTGAAGAAAAAAAAAAAAAATGATTATCAAATCTGTAATGTTTATCTAAAACTAGAAAACACTATTTGCAGGTCAAAATTTCGCACTTTTTTTTTTCTTTGTGTATGATTATGTACTATCAAATAATGCCCATGCGTGTTATTTTGAGTTTTACAGTAAACAATAAAATGTATATACCTGTAAAGAAAATAAATATATAAATAAAAAGGTCAGTTTAATTATAGCATACTTACAAAGTTGTACTTAATAAAAAATGCTAATCGCAAATATCTATATTTCAAAAGGGTCAAAAATACTTCATAGCTAGTATGCACATTCAATACCATATGAAATGATCATTAAAGAGTTTTTTAATAAACTCATTATAGATGAAATATCTCCAGAGTGCAATATTTCCATAAGCTCTTTTGAAATAATTGATCATATTGAATTAAGCTAAATGTTAGGTGCAGGTACAACAACTATTCAAGCTAGTCCTTATTGTGAAATAATAGAATCAACTAAAGCATTTGGTTTAAATATATACTATTATCTTAAAACTAGTGATATCATAACCTCTTATTTAGTACCGTATTAAAATGCATTAGAAATTCTTATGCAAACTCAAAAAAAATTTTTTTTGCCAAGCTCCTTGCAATATAAAAGATTAAATAATAAACAAGTATTATATAATGATATAATCGAATGGATTCATCAAAACAGTGAGGAGTAGTCTTTAATTGAGAATGCTAATGCACAAGGAAAAAAATTCATTAGTTGTTTGTGTGATGCAATTTGGTATATTGATATGTATAATCACTTAAAACTTAAGGAATGTAGCTATCATATTCCAAAGCTATTCATAGGTTTTTTGGCTGCACTAACTCAGAATCATATAAGAAATCTTAGAAACCTTTTAATGCAATAGAATTAAATCTTCATTGTTAAGCACTTGCATCACACTCCACATCACAGTAGATACTAAAACCATCATTCGATTAGCTTCATAAGCCCTATAATATCTTGATTACTGTCATTTTAAATTATGTTAGCTTTCTAAAACAGCAAAATAAAATTACAACAAAAAACTATGCATCAATAACCCAGTTCAAAGCATAGAACAGGCTATAACAATTAAAATTCACAAAGCCAATATCTACATAATACCAAATGACAAAATCAAATATAAGCGATTAGAAAATATACTCAAAGATTTACCTCTCTAGATACCAATTAATATTGAAAACTACCTATCAACAGATCCTGTATAAGTATAAAATTAAAAATAATAATTGTTAATAATTAATATAGCATTATTATGTATATGTTAGGTTAGAATTGAGTGCTAAAGTTGTTAATAAAAGGGTATATGTGTACTTGCCAACCAAACTAAAATAAAAAATCATAAACATAATAAAAATTGTTTCAAAATTCCAAGTTCCAAACTCTAGAGGTTTTGTCAACAAATATACAGTAGGTATATGGGAATAGACTAGAAAAACCACCGTTTGACATTTTCAAACAGTAATTTTTCTAAACTATCCTCTATATGTAAGTTTAGAAAGATTATATTTTCATAGAGATCCTAAATTTCAACATCTGCTAATTTTAGTACTTGTTAGGATAAATAATTAATCTCATAACTCTTTTAGTTCAAGAATGCATTATATACAGAGATTATCTTGAGCATTTACCTTTAAACTTTGTGAATTTCAATTTAACTCTAGAAATAATACATATAATATAGTTTCAATTTGGAAGATCGATGAAAGTGCTAATAAAACTAAGATGATACAACAAAACACTAATATAGTTAATAAACTTCAAGCTCATTCTCCTCATTATTATACCTATGCAATGAGAAAATATTATTTTCATACTTGTGACTTACTTTTACCAAAAGTTAAATCTGTAGCACTTTGCACTATTTATCGTATGTTAACCAGAGATTCTTCAGCACCAGAATTTGTAAATGAAGCCAAAATAGATAAAAGAATTAGACTAGCTCTTGAATTAGGTGATTCTGAAGTTACAATTGATTTACATGAACACAATTCTGGGAGACCAAGTAAATTTGATGTTTTTTGGGAAATTGCAGCTGACTTTCTTTCAAAAAAAGCAGCAGAATTTGTAACTGTAGTTGATGAATGTTGACATGATACAATCATCTACTTAGCAACAGCAATTTCAATTAATGATTTATTAAATCAAATCAAGAATAAATGTTCCTAAAATACACCAATTCTAAGTATACAATGGCTTCATTTACAATTATGGTCTAAAAACCTAACACGACTTAATAGTTTGCAATATACTAGACACCTACTTTTAAAATTTAAGATACAAGCAGTATTACCTATCAATTGAACTTTTAGATATCAACTAATCGATTTCAATTAATCAATTAGTTAGTATCTAAAAGTTCAATTAGGTCTAGGTTAAAATCCTAAAAGGATTTCAACCTAGACACAGTTCAATCAATTAATTGCTAACAATTAATCAATTAAAAATTTTTTGATAATTTGTAATACTAGGTACAAGTTTGGCAGCTTTGCACTTATCATTCTGATACATATTACGCTTTAGCATTGTTTAGGTATGAAAAGGAATTTGCTACAAAATTTTGTAAAATTACAACATTAGTATTTTTAGATGACAAACATAGGTATAAAGTTGGAGAACCTGAGTATCCAGTTGCTGCTATAGAGAGAGGTAAGCAAGTTGTAGTTAGTAAAAAATCAATATTGATAGTTGGAGATCATGACTATACAAAGTCTGGAATAATACTAAGTGTTATAATGATATGTGATATTCTGGAGTCAGTTGATAGTAATTTTTATGCAGGAGACATTCATATTGGATTAAAAGATGCTATTTTTCAACCTTTCTCACTAATATGCCATGTAGTTGAATTATACAATATCCTCATAAAAAAAAATATTACCAATAAACCTGTCTTATATCTTTATACAGATAGTGGCCCAGACCATCATTGTATATTTACTAGTATGCAACTATCATATATTTGCTTATTTCTAGCTTTAGATCTAGACTATTTCATTGCTATAAGAACATTATCTTAACACTCATGGAAAAATCTAGTAGAACGTATAATGTTTATCTTAAATTTTAGGCTTCAATATATTGGTTTAATAAGAGGTAAAATGAGTGATAATTTAGAAAAATTAATCAGTAAAGCAAATACAATAAAAGCAATTTGACATTTGGCAGAAA